TTGTCTCCTGCATTATACCACCTCAGCAGCCTTTAGCTCTACTGAGCTGCTCTGCCTGGGCTGTCCAAATGGTTAGCTTAGGTGCTCGTTGTTCTGGTTAAAAGTCTCATAGCTTTTGAGTTGTCTGTTTCTCACATGATTTTCCCCCATGAGCCCTGGTATTTTAAGCGCAGGATATTGCCAAATATGAGATTTTTCAGGAAAATATGTATTATGTTATAGCAGAAATGCTATATTCAACTCAATACATTTAACAGCTACAATGTGCTGGGCAGTGTTCTAGAAGCTAGGGATAAAAATGGTGAGCAAAATATAGAAATCGTTCCTGCTGTCATGGAGGGGATAACTTGTTGGAAGGGACAGGCAGTAATTGTCAAATTTATAAATATACACTGAGATTGTACTCTGAGTGAATAGTACAAAGACTTAACATGTAACAGGAATCTAACTCAGATTGGGCATCCAGGACAACTTTTAGGAGGAAGTGGCATTCGAGCTAAGTCCTGGAGGCTGCGTAGTAGGAGTAAAGCAGGCATAGTGTGTGTGAGGGTGGTGGGTAAAGTGGAGCACTGTGGACCGTACTCCAAATGCAGGGAACAGCAGAGAATAGCCCCCTTGTGATGGGAGGAAGCTCCTTGCTCTGAAGATCCAAGAAACATGACTGTGGGCAGAACACAGAATCCAAGGTGAGCTGAGAAGATGGGTAGTTGTTCCTGTTTATCATGAGGAAGCAGAGACTCAGAGAGGATGAGTGATTTAACAAAACTAACGCAGCAAGTAAGTGCCTAACTCGAGTTTCACAGAGTTCCTTTAACAGCATGATCAATAGTTCAGTTTCTAAAAAGTTCTGTAGAAGTTACTTTGGAAGAAAATTACTGCTTTGGGATCATGTTAAATGGTGATTTGTTTGGGATGACATATTTCACCAACTAAAGTATGCTAATTTCAAATAGTTATCAATCCAGATCACTCTTAAATAATTTCCATTTCTTTCCAAAACTGATCTAGAATATTACCCTCGTTTAGGGTAAAATTGACACTTCTGTCAATTTTGTTAATTTCGAATGATTCAACCTAATGTGTTATCAGAGTCACACAGGCATACCTCATTTTATTGTGCTTCACAGATACTGCATATTTTACAAATTGAAGGCAAGACCTTCTACCAAAAGCAAAAAGATTATGACTCACTGAAGGCTCAGGTGATGGTTTGTATTTTTTAGCAAGAAAGTATTTTTTAATTAAGGTATATACATTGTTTTTAGACATGTTATTAGACTGCAGTGTAAACATAACTTTTATATGTACTGGGCACCAAAAAATTTGTGACTTTATTGCAATATTTGCTTTATTGTAGTGGGCCAAAGTGAACCTACACTATCTCCAAGGTATGCCCATATATATAATTTGAATCCCTTATCTAGATCAGCTCTGTTTAAGTTTCTACAATGACAAATACTG